CCGTCACTAGCACCCTAGGTGCATTGCTGACACCCGCCTACCATTTTTCTTTCTTTTTTTTTTTTTTTTTTTTTTTTTTTTTTTTTTTGGTTTTTGAGATGGGGTTTCTCTGTGTAGTTTTGGAGCTAGAACTTGCTCTTGTAGTAGACCATGATGGCCTCAAACTCACAGAAATCCGACTGTCTCTACCTCCTGAGTGCTGGGATTAAAGGTGTGCGCCACTACCCCGCTACCCACCATTTCTTAATCTAGTAACTTAGACTGCTTGGTCAAGCGACCACCCAAATTCTCGACATTTCTAGTCCTGGTGCTTTGACTAATCTTTGTAAGAAACTATTGTTTGCTCATACTGTATAACTTTTTGTTGCCTATGACCTGAGAGCCCAAACTGACAGTGTAACATAAAGTCTTAAGAGACTCTGGAAAAGCAGTAAGTACCCTTAACCTTTAACCCAAGACCCTTGAGACAGGGTCTTACTCTGTAAACCAGCCTAGCTTTGAGCCCACAGAGATCTGTTTGTCTTTGTCAGTGGAGAGTTAAGATAACAGGCATGAACCACCATGCTTTCCTGAAGGGTATTTTTGGCAAGGGTAGGGGCTTGAATAAAAATGATCCCCATAAGCCCAAAGGGAGGGGCACTATTAGGAGGAAGTGTGTCACTGGTGGGTTTTGAGGTTTCAGATGCTCAAACCAGGCCTAGTGGCTCACTGTCTCTCCCTGCTGCCTGTGGATCCAGATATAGAATGCTAAGCTACTTCATCAGCCCCATGTGTGCCTGCTGCCACCAAAATGATAATGGACTAAAACGCTGAACTCTAAGTCAGCCCCAATTAAATATTTTCCTTTGGAAGAGCTGCCATGGCCATGGCAGGGAGTTTGGGTTTTCAAGATAAGTTTACTCGTGTAACAGAGCACTGGCTATCATGGAACTCTGTCTGTAGACCAGGCTGGCCTCAAAATCACAGAGATCCATTTGCCTCTGCCTCTCAGTGCTGAGACTAATGATGAGTGCGCTACCATGCCCAGCCTAAGGCTGGCTTTTATACAAGGGACCAAGTATCCTAATTGTGACGAAACCCTGGGTGTGGACTGCCCTAATGTGGTAGATGATGTTCCAGGCCCCACTTCCAGGATCATTTCTCCCTACCCCGAAGGCTGGTGACCTTTAAGGGACAGGAATAGTGAGCAGGGAAGAAGGGCAGTTAGTTGTACAGTCTCAGTGACTTAGGGCGGGGCTTTCCCGTGCTGTCAGGAGCTCTACCCCACTGTTTTCTGAATTTGAGGCAGCACTTACTGTTTTCTACATGCACTTTGTTCTTGTAGCTCAAGTAACCCAAATCTCTTTGGCTGTAGTCCCAGGCCTAAGCAGGGAGTCTCTACTGTTTTCAGGATGACTGTGATTTCCAGAAAGAATCAGGCTTGTGTGTCCCAGCCAGGACAGCCTCTCAGACTCTGGTGTAAGAGCAGTGTTTTTTGTTTTTGTTTTTGATACATTGTTATTGTTTGCACAAGTGTAACAGATTACTAAGTAACTCATCTAGAAATGGTTAAACCTTAAAATCATTTTGTACTTGAATGAATTTCTTAAAGACTTCCATTGAATTTTTATACTTAAAAGTAAAACTGAATTCAAGAGTTCAGTAGCTGAGGGTGGTGGCACACTTCTGAAAACTTAGTGCACAAGAGGCAGAGGCAGGAGGATCACGAGTCTGGGCCAGCCTGAGCATTATAGTGAGAGCCTTTCTCCAAAAACCTAGATTTCATCCTGCATTCTATCAGGCAGTATTTATGGAATGACTAGAAAGTTCTTTCTCAAAATAGGATTACGCTACAACAGCTTCCACTATGGCTGCTGCTCGGGTCACCTCTTGGAAGTTGCCTAGGAGACAGACAGCCCTCATTTCAAAGTCCTCAGCAACTCTCCTCTTGAGCATAGCTATTTCTGATTTGGCCTAAAGCCATCTGGATACGAGTTTGGATAGCATGATGGACAATAAACAAGAAAAACAACAAAAGGGACTGGGGAGGTCCCCTGGGGGTGAAGTGCTTGCTACACAAACATGAGGACATCATTTCTAGTCCATGGCACCCACATAAATGCAGGGTACGGTGGTACCACCTGTCACCCCAGCATGAGGTTGGTGTAGACAGGTGAGTTCTGGGGTCTCACTGGCCAGTTAGCCTAGCCAAAACAGCAAACTTTAGTTTCAGCTGAAAGACCCTTCTTAACAAAAGAAGATGGAGGCAGACAGAAGACAACCCATTTGGACTTCTGCCTCCACACACACGTGCAGGGGCAACCATACACTCTCCCCATGCTCCCCTACAGGAAAATGTCAAAAGCAGGCAGCACTCTTAGGTTGAAAATTTAAGATGAGACTCTGAGACCCTAAGTTCCACAGCAGTGCTAGATGCTTTTACCCACGTGGAGGGAACTGTCTTACTCAACCTGAGAAAACTGTGTCCCTGTTTGGTGGTGACACTGGTGTTCTTTCTCAGCAGTCAGCATCAACAGCTGACCTGGTGGACAGGACCTATGGATTTGGCCACTGATGTATGTCTTGCCACATTGGTAGCCTTAGAAATGAGTTTTAGTGTTGTAGGTTATTTTTGTTTGGTCCTAGGAGATACTCTGCAATTAACACAACAGCCCCTGGAAACCTGAAGAGAGAGAAAGGTAATTTACACATCAGTTGTTTGTAATATACAATGCATGCTGAACAGCCTTCTCCAGCCATGCTAGCTAGCTATCACAGGGCCTGAGGACCAGCCAAACAGAACTGTTAGCGTGCTGGGAAGGCTCAGGGGACCAATTACTGGCTGACCTTCCATTTTCTGTGCAAATGATTTAATAATTTAACGATAGGAGTCACTCTCCTTTCTTTGTACTCCAATATGGAACCAGGAGGAAAACAGGAACATGGGTTCTCCAACGACAGCAACACACTCCTAAATCCCATTCATTGTTTGAGGGGAAAAGGCAGAGACCTGTTGATTCAGAAAATCTTACTAGGATCCTGGTTCCAGTGCAGTCAGACACTTGTATTTTCTCCTTTCCTTTCTATCCTGGCCTATGGCAATCAAAGTTCAGGAACACTGCGTGGGATCCACAAAGTAGGATACCTAGATCTCTAGTTTCCATAAAGAGGGGTGTGGGAGAAGTTGGTTTAAGATGCCAAGAAGTGGTACAGTGGGACACAAGGACATCAAAGAGCCTCCACTAGTACGGACGTTCAGGTAAGGAGCAATTCTGGCAGTCAAGGATGTGCAGGGACTTCTGGCTGAGGTGGTAAATAATTCATCATTTCAGGACTCTGTTCTTCATCTGTGCTGTGCTGGCTAACAGAAGCTAGAGTTATCTCAGAGGAGGGAATCTCAACCAAGAGAATGTCTTCAAAAGATCAGGATATAGGCGAGCCTGTACGGCATTTTCTTAACTAGTGATTACAGTGGGAGGGCCCAGCCCATTGTGGGTGGGGCCATCTCTGGGCTGGTGGTGCTGGGATGTATAAGAAAGCAGGTCGAGCAAGCCATGGGGAACAAGTCAGTAAGCAGTGATCCTCCACAGACTGTGTCAGTTCCTGCTTCCAGGTTCCGGCTGTCGAGTTCTTGCCCTGACTTCCCTTCATGAAGAACTGTGAAACTGAAGTGTAAGCAAAATAAACTCTCTCTAACCCACGTTGCTTTTGGTCATGGTGTTTCATCACAACAAGACAAAGCCTAACTAAGACACTTGCAAATTTAGATTTCACAGAATCCAGTTTTACTTTCCCACTGGCTTGTAACTTAAAACTTTAAAATGTATTTTTAAAATAGTTCAAAGGGAAAATGAATTCACAGCTGTGTTGAGAACAAACAACATTTTTAATCCACCTGAGAAGAAAATGGTCCCTAATCCCAGAGTACCTGAAACTCCAACAAGAAAAGCCCTAACTGCAGAAAAAGCCTGTGCTCTGGGGGGGGACTCTGAAGTAACAACCAATGAACACATCAGGTCTAGGCACACATCACAGGTTCAAATCCCAAGCAGGAACAACTGCGTCTCTTCATGGTCACAGAGTCTCGACTTAGCTGTGGCCTGGATTTCCAGCTTTGGCTATCGACTACATGGGTAGGAAAGAGGTCTCCACCACCTGAAGAAAAACTCACCTGTTATTGCCAGTATTTTTGTCAGGCATTGTGTCTCACACCTGAAATCCTAGAACTCAGTCAGGGGGATTGCTGTAAATTGAGGCTGGCTGGACTTCATAGTGAATTACAGTTACCTCAGGCTATGAGTGAAACTGTCTAAAGAAAACCCCCCAAATCCAACACAAAACTCCCAATCCAAAAATGGGCAATATTTTCCTGCTTTAAACAGAGATGAATTAACTGGCCAGAAACAAGTTAAAATGGAAAAGAGCTAAAAGCAAGCATTTCTCCTGAGGGCTTGGTAAATTTTACACACTGGTTGGCTTTCGTTTTAATTCAGTAATCATAATTTTTTTCTTTCTTTTTTTTTTTGAGACAGGGTCTCTATGTAGCACTGGCTGTCCTGGAACAGACTAGCTTTGAGTCCACAAAGCTTCACCTGCCTTTGCATCCTGAATGCTGGGATTAAGGATCTGTGCCCCCTACCACTATCAGTAATCTTACTTTTATTTGGTAATTCTTGTGAAGCCTATGGTTAGGCAGTTTTTAACATTTTAATTTTTCAGTTTTTTTTTTTTTCTCAATAGCTTGGTAATCTCTTCATGAAAAATTTAATACAACCCAAAGACTAAATGAAGAAAAAATCCCCTAATCATATTGTATTCCCAGGCAGATAAAAAGTTTTATTTTTTGGGCTGGAGAGATGGCTCAGAGGTTAAGAGCATTGGCTGCTCTTTCAGAGGTCCTGAGTTCAATTCCCATCAACCGCATGGTGGCTCGCACCCATCCATTATGAGATCTGGTGCCCTCTTCTGGTGTGCAGATATACATGGAAGCAGAATGTTGTATACATAAAAAATAAACAAAATCTTTAAAAAAAAGTTTTATTTTTCAATAGGGCTTACTTTTACCTTGGTATTTAGAGAATTTAAATATTACTCAACGCCTGAGTTTTATTTGCACTGTTGTTAGCCAAACATTTCCCCCATCATTAACCACAGGAGTAGGAAGTGAGTATAAATCCAGTATTTAGCATCTGTCTTAGCCTGAAGGTCAGTGAAAGCCAAGGTTCTCACGGACAAAGTGGTTTTTGGAAGGACCAAAGTGAAGATGACACAGAATCGGTGGTCCACCTCGAGAACCTTGATGTTCCTGTTTTAAGATGAAAAGTACATTTATTTCCAGAATTATGACTACTAGCACAAAAGGGTTTCTCTCTCTCTCTCTCTTTTTAAATACGAATGTTTAAAAGAAATAAAAACCGCATGGGGAGTCAGCAATGGCAAAGGGCTATCGAGCCCTGAGTTGGTTCCCCCCCCCCCAGCTCTGCAGAAACAGACCAGCAAACAAGAAACCTCAACAAAAATAAACACAAACCTAAACAATTGCATGAAAATATGTGGAATCTTGTTCTTGAAAATACAAGTGACGGAGACTCATGCTCAATCTTGTATACTATGAATTCCAAAAAAATTTGGCTATTTTGGGGGTGTTATTCTTTAGCGAGGTTTTAAGTGCAAGTCCCATTTCCAAATAACACGTGATCCTGTCCTCATCTCTAACTTTATACATAAGTGGCATAACTTATCGGGTTTTAAAATTCCATCAAGGCACCAAGAGCGTTTTATCTACGTCACAGGGGCCTGGGCTTGAGATTAAGAATGAGGTGTTATGATCACGATGCATTGTAAGACATGGACGAAGCTGCCAAGGAATAGAAATATTCTTAAAAAAAGGAAAACTATAGAACTCCGTTTGCCTTTTCTCGGAGACCGACGGGGGCTTTGGGTCTGCATGGACTTGGTGCTCAGGAGCTCTGCGTGCCCCCGGCTCCAGCACCGGCGCGCCCAGAGGAAGCCCAGATGAAGAGCGCAGGTAAGCAAACACGCTCCTTTAAACTTGGTTTTGGAGACAGGGTCTCTTGCCGCCCGGGCTGATGA